CCAGGGCATATTCAGTACTTGTGCGCCTTGTCGGCGTCGGTATAGCACAAAGATGCACCCTCCAAATTAACACGTGTTTAAATATCGCGCCAAACCGGGCGATGAGGTCAATAACGCTGCCATTTCGAATTCGATTTATACTGAAACTAAATTTGAATAGATGTGTCCTCTTGCTTGTACTAAGGGGGGGGGGGTATATTAATTTAGCAGTCTCGTTTGCAAAAATAAAACTAAAACATTTTGTATGCCTAAATATAGTAGGAGTTATCGACACCATCACCCGGCGTGGCGCGATATTTAAACACATGTTAATTTGGATTCTGCTTTGGTGCTATACCAACGCCAACAAAGCGTACACAACAGTACTGGATATGCACTAGAGGTGTCCAGCGATCATTCCAGTGAAATCCCTACCCCAAAACTTCATTCAGATATCAAATAAATAGAGAGAAACTGAGACCAGCCAAAAAACGTCCTCCGCCATCTTGGATTTTTTTCGGCACATATGCCCTACAGTCTAAACGGTGCGTCGCACGACCTTGTAGATAGCACCACTGAGTTCGCAAGGGGCGACTTTGGGGGGGTTTATTTAAGGGTAAAAATCGCTAGGACCTACCCTTAGCCAAGTTCATTAAACAGCCCCTTCCCCCTTTCCCCTTTCCTCTCCGGCAGGCTGGCGGCAGCCGCCTTCACCTGCCATGCAGTTTTCTGTGAGCCAGTGCGCTGTGTCAACCATGCCTGCCCATGTGGCAACAGTGCAGTGCGCGTTCAGATGACCGAAAATAACGTTATTGATGCCCGTATTTAGGTTACAAGAATTAACGGTAATGTCTTACTTAACGTTAATTTAGTGTCGGCAAAAATGGTAAAAGTATATAACCAATAAAAACCGACCAGAATTATCGTTATGCAGGAATAACGGTTATTCCTTCATTTTCGTTAATCGTTAAAAGCTGCAACTTTAACAAATAACTTAAATAACATTCAAATGTTAAAGTTAAGTTATCACGCCCTGGTCCCATACGGCACGTCGCGTCACGCGCGGAGCACCGAAAGAACGAGCGCTATGCCCGCGGCCTGGGGCGTGGCGGGGCGTGGCAGAGGTCCGGGCGGATCTAGGTTTTGGCTGATTCGAGAGACGTCCACGCGAGCGAATTCTCAGCAATTGCTACGTCGTCCCGGACGAGTGGTGTGTACCGCCCCCCGCCCCCACCCCGCTGCCCCCCTCGAGCGTGCCCAGGCCCGGGGGCGCCGTCTCGTCACTGCTGCTCTGAGTCTTCCGCGAGCGTTTTACATAGTTGATGTCTCCTTCTTCTTCCTCCTCCTCCTCGCCTCAGCCCGGAGGGTCTGCTGCCGCTGCGATGCGGATACGAAAGAGAGAAAACTGCTCGCGGATCAAGCGGGCTACGTGCTTTGGGCTGTTCGGATCAAAGTGGGGCGATGTGGATATGGAGATCGAGTAGGTTGACATGGACACAGCAGGCGCGAGTAGTCCCGTCTGTTTCGACCCTCTGCTGAAGAAGGGCCTGTACCTCGTGTAGCCGATCTCCTCGTGCTGGGGCTGCAGCAGGAAGTGGGCGGGGACGCCGTCGTGCTCCACATCGACGTCCTGGCCGGGATCGCGCACGCCGCGCAGGTGCAACACGTCCCGGAGCGAGCGAGCGATGGACCTGAGCGGCGACATGAGCCTCGCTCTGCGGGCCCCGGCACCCGGCCCCGCCTCCTCGAGGCGCATGGGGGGCGGCGCCGTCGTCGGGCAGGCCCTCGAGGCCCTTGGGTAGCCGACGGCGACCCCGTTCCGGGGCGCGTGGTCGACGTCGACGTCGCCGACCTCAGACGGCCCAACCACGAGGGAGACATCGCCGTTGAGGGAGTTCCAAGGGCGCGGCGCGGCGATGGGCACGGGCGAGCTGAAGTTGGTGGCGCCGCGGTGGGGGCGCGCGCGGGCCGCGGAGCGGTACAGCCTCTCGAAGTGCTTGGGCCGCAGCAGCGTGACGCCGGGCGACGTCCACGGCCGGCGCGCGCGGGGGTCGAAGCTCTGGAAGCGCGGCGACGAGGACGCCCCGTCCCACAGGAGGGCGTCCCCCCAGCGGGGCACCTCCAGCTCCACCCCTTCCAGGCCCCCGCCGTCCACACGAGAGGAATGGCGGCATTCTTCCGACGTGTCTCGATACGAGAAATTTATGTGAAAGCCGTTCGTTTGCTGCTGACTGTGGTGCGCCCGCCCCGCGCCACGCCCCCCACCACCGGCCGCCTCCCCCTCTTCCACCTCCTCCTCCTCGGCGAGCCCCGCCGCCGCCCCTCCGCCGGGGTCGACCACCTCGCGGCTGGCATCACTGGGCCTGTTGTCCTGGCTGCCGACGACGGCGTGCAAAGTCGAGCTCCGGGTCACGACCTGGGCCACGGTCCAGGTGAGCGCGGGCGCGGGCGCGAGGGCGCACGAGGGGCACTGGGGTCGCTCGCCGGGCCCGCGGGGGCGGCCGCACCCGGGGCAGCGCGCGCCGCCCGTCACGCCCTCCTCCGTCATGCCACGCTCCTCCGCCACCACGTCACCATCACCATCATCAACAACATCAACGGCGCGTTAGGCGGCTCTCAACGGTGCGCGACGGCGGCGGCGCGGCGCGCCAATGACATTTTTGTCGACCAGTCCGCCGACGCACGGCGCGGAGCAGGGCGCCGACGCACGGCGCGGAGCAGGGCGCCGCCGAGGAGCTGCGGAGCAGGCGGGGCCTGCGGAGCCAGCGGGGCCGACCAACGGACAGCGACTGATGGCCACGGCGGCGGCCGCGCGGGGTCCACCCCCGAGACCGAGCGCGGCGGGGCGGGCGTGGTCCGCGTGCTTCACCCCGCCGCACCCCGCCCTTCCCCGACGCGGCAAGCATAGCAAGATGAGCAGGGGGCAGCCCACTGCGCTGTCGCCGTGGTCGTGCTGAATCAAAAGGCACTACTACACAGCAGAGGGGGGAGGTGGGGATGGGGCGACACGGACACGGGTGACTGAGAGAAGACCGAGGGAGATAGGGAGAAGGCAGGGAAGTTGCAGGTCGAGGAACGAGCGAGGGAGAGAGAGAGGGGGGGGGG